TCAAGAAAAGGTTGGGTTTTTTGTCTAGACAGCACTTGTGAGCCACTAGTGCTCAGTTATCTATACTGCTAGTAGACCTTTACAGCGTGCATGTGTAGTGGTCCTGCTTTGGGGGCTTGGGGTCGGTTGGTTGGATTGTTTGTTTTTTCAGGATAAATGCTCTGTTTCTTCAGACACAAACTGGTCTTGTGCTGTCAGTCATGATTGCCTTTATTTTGTACTTAAAGAGCAACAGGAAGAAAACTTAAGCAAGCCTCGATAGAGTAGTTTTAAAACTCTTCTTTAGAAAGTTGCATAAGGATACAAAAAACACAACTGCCTCCTAGTTGGTAGAAGGACCTCCTTCCCCTTAAAGGCACCTCCTAAATCAAGAAGTAATTCGTGGGCTAAATGGGGTATATTTTGCTTTAGTGTATTAAAATTTTTGTCCCTTGTTTTACCCTGTCTTTTTTACCAAGGCAAAGATCCAACATTGATGGGACAGGCTGATAAATTGCTTTCACATTGCGTGCATAGAATGTGTGCATTTAAGATTCCTAATTAAACAGGATGGGGGCAGAATAATAATGACTGTGTTTGCAGATGCCTGCTGATTTTTTTTTTTTCCCCCAAATACTTTCATATGCATCCTTCAGACTTTCAGAATCTGTTTCTCATGGAACAGAGAAATGAACATAGGAGATAATGGTTGGGGAATGCGCTCTTTGAATACACACAGCACTCCCATTTCAATCAGTGGGAGTCACAGGTATGCAAGGCATGAGGGCCTGGCAGCTCAGTTTGCTTCAATAAATTGATCTAAGTTATGTATTCAGACTGGAATACAGCAGTGCAGATTTAGAAGTGATAGAATATAGCTACACTCTGGTTTCCTCTCACTGGGGCAGCAAAATTCTGCTGTGCCATTTGTTGTACTCCACCCAGAACACTGTGGTAGCATTTCTGTATTGACTATGTTCTAGTCTTTCTCGGCTTCAACCCATGACTGTTTCTGGTTGAATCCATAGCCCCTCTAAGCAGCTTGCTTACAGGAATGTGGAAAGTAAATGTGTGTTGAGACCTCAGTTGTAGATCTACTAGCTTTGCCTCTGATGTCCCTTCTTGTAAATTGTGCCACTAACACCTAATTCAGACATGACCCCTAATACTTTTCTGCAGAAAAGCATTGTGTTACCCATGGGCCGGTGCTCGCTCTACAGGCATGTAAGTGCAAATGGTCCTTTTGCTGAACATTGCAAAAGTCCACTTTCTGCTACTGTGAGTTTATCTGTAACCCTGTTTCATGTTCCTAAGCAATGTTTAGACATTTGCAAGAAAAGAACATCAATCAGATGAGAATGTGGTGATTGTTTTTCTGAATCCCTTATTACATAGTTTGCAGTAAATCACTTCAAGTTTCTTCTGTTGTTCCCTCTTTGGCAAAGTTATTTCTAGTGCAAACAGAGTGTACATCTATCCTGCTTTCTTCATAACAACTTAGTTTGCTGGTTGGTTAAATCCATAGTTTCCTATTTAAGTATAGGAGGAAGGAATGTGTGTTCAGTTTTCCTTTCCATTAAAACATTCTTGGTTGTGTGGCATTTTTTGATTGGTTGTTTTTTTTAGGTTTGGTAGTGGTTTTGTTTTTTTTCTGAAGGTGACATGTTCCTCTTCCTTCAGCTGTTTTACATTAGTGAAACTGTTATTTCATTGCAGTCATTCCTGGTTTACACAAGCCCATGTCTCTGTAAAATCAGACTGGGAGAATACAGAGCAGGGACAACTTCTTCAAGAGTTCTGAGATGATGAAAGCCCACCTGCAGGGTAAAAATGCAATTCTGTTTCACCTTTCTGCCATGCATCTTTAAAAAGATAATTAGGTTGGATAAGAACCAGCATTGCCACTTAGGTGTTGTTTCCAAAAATGAATTCTGTTTCATTTCATTAACATTCTGTTACTGTCTTCAGAGTCAGTAAATATTTATGATAAAATGCAACAAATGTGTATTCAAAGGGCAGTAATTCATTGCAAGATATGCACTCATAGCCTGCTTTGTCTATTTCGGTTGTAGCACTCACTTTCTGTTTCAAAGTAAGACAAGGTATGCACGCTACTGAAAAACAGAGCCCCTGTTTTATCTTGCGTTATGGTTGCATGTGCCATTGCTTATTCTCAGTGATTTTCATAATTTTGCAGTACCTTCTCAAGACTTAACATACTGCATGCTGAATTATGTTCTAATAGCACGATTTAGTAGGTGGGGTGTGCCACAGGTACTGAGGTCCAGGCTGGAGTGCCGTGCACTCATGATGATGAGGGACACAAAGCTGTTTGAATGTCTAATGAAATCAACAGTTAGTGGACATGAAGGAACATGACTTTTTTTTTTTAAATTGTCATTAGTAAAGGAGTGAGAGTCTTTGAGAAAACCTTGGTTTTTACCTCATTGACTGATCTCAGTTATATGTCCCTCAGTCTGACATACTGCTCCCTGGGAATCTGGTGTGTTTATGTTCTTGCTACTTATCGCTTCATTTTCTGGTTTAGCCACTGCTGCAAATGCAATGAACAGGGCCTTGCCAGATAAACAACGGCACTGTGCTGTTCTAAACCAAACGCTGTTCTTCCTTTTCCAGGCTTACAGTAAGCACCATGTCCAGATGCTTCTTCCTCACCTGGGGTGAATTTTGTCCTTCCACAGATGGCCAGCACTGTATCAGTTAATGCCAAATTATGACAGAGGTGCAATGTGGATTGCACATTGCCTTTTCTTTTTTTTTTTTTTCTTTTCTTTTCTTTTTTAAACTGCCATTGCTAGAAAGGCTCCCTTTGACTTTAACAAGCATCTTAGTGCCTCCTCTGAAGAGGTACTGTGTAATAATCACAACTCTGCTAGCCCTTGCATGTTTGTTTTCTTTTTTCACCTCCTTACAACCTCAGCGCCTGAAATAGAAGTTCTGCTTGAGAATCTTAATTTCCATTAAAAAGAAAGCGAGCTTCTAGCTCTTCTCACTTGTAAGAGAAGCATGGAAAGCAGGGCATGAAAATATACGCTGAAATGCCCCAGAGAATTAGCAAAGCATAACTGAAGAGGGGAAGTGTACAGAACTGCAGTGTTTGGGAATAAAGGATATATTTTTGGATACTCAGTCTTTATGGGCTTCCTCATGAAAGGGCAGTGGCATACCTCTGCCCTCAGACCTCCCTGGTGGGAGCAGGGAGGAAGAATCCAGTTAGCCTTTCACAAGATGATGGATGTTCCCTGATTTCCCGCCACTGCATTACTCACCCCACTGTCTGAAGTAACTCAAATTTGGTGGGGGCATTAGAGGGAGCATGTTTCTAGGTCCGAATATGATACTTGGGTGGGTGGGATTTATTACAAACTGAAAGCAAGCTCTGAATGCAGGGGAATGAAAGGAACTTAATGTGGGCGAGGTGATGGAGGGAAATTTTGAGGTGCATCATGGGGTTAAATGCTGACTTGAGCTGTTGATGGGTACCATAGGCACCCTTGCAAAAGCTTAGAAGACAGATCAACCCACAGATCTCTTCTGCAAGGAATGTGAATGTTTTTAAGGGTAAGGAATCGTAACTGAAGAGCTGTTCCCCACAACAGTGTAAAATGTGTAGTGGCGGTGATGGCATTGACATTGTTTTGCCCGTTGTATATTTCTTCTATCTGTTTCAAACCTCATGGTGAGATATGGTCAACGGTTTTGCTGCCCCTAATGCTGTGCAGAGCCAACAAAGAGAAAACTGCTGCGCTTGTTTTAAGTGAGTCTGTCTTGCTGTCTGTAGTAATAGGCCCCCTAATGGCGATATCAATAATAGTCAGAAATTCTTAACTTTTCTGGGTAATACCGGTATTTAGAAACCTAATTGTATATAGTAGAATTCAATTTACTAATGATTAGTAGCTCTGTGTTAAACCAGTCATAAACCAAAATCCTCAAAGCACTGTAAAGAAAACTTCATACACTGTGTAATTTATTGAAGACAGCTAATTAATTGGCCATAGTGATTCCAGTACAATCTAGCTCACATGCGCAAAACAGTCATAATTTTTCTAATCTCAATAAAGAGAGCACAATGCTTTAATTACTGTGTAATTTCTTAAAAGCTAAATGTTCCCTTTGAAATAGATAAAATGGTAGCAGCCTGTAATTGCTCAAATTGCCATTAAATAATCAAAGGATTGTCTGTGTTAGCTGGAGTGTAAGTAAATGTAAGATCATACCATAGTAGAAATAATCTTCTTGTGGTTGATTAGGACAATCTTGTCTTTGCCAGAGTTTTTGGAAACCATCATGAAGCATTCCTTTCTTTGAAGAAATTTAGTACTTCATTCTGATTAAATTGAGGTTCTTTTTTGAATAAGTCTAATTCTGGCTTCATTAATTAAGCAGTTTTATGTGGTAACACAGATTAATAATCTTTGCTTTTGAACCAGAAGAAAGGGGTTTTTTCCCCACCCACTTTGATATTTTGGGTCGATCCCATTGCTAAAGGCAATGCCATTCATCCATATGGGCTCTAGAGGCAGGTATTGAATTCTAAGTTTTCTGTGCTTTAAAAAACACACACCACAAAACAAAAAAAAACAAACCCCACCCCATTATCTTCTTCATCTTATACTAAAAGGGAGAGTCCTTTGGTCAAAACCAGTGAGAGATTCTAAACTGTTTGCATGCTCAATTGGCTGTAGAGAGGTTCAGCACCCAAACTTCCTTCTGTAAGCTTCATGGGAACTAGATGAGCAAGACTGCATCTATGGGACAAAGCAGATGGGGCGGGGTGGTGTTCTTTGGAGTGTGGGACAAGATGGTGTCTGCTCACCTTTTCTGACAGGGCTGTGGATGCTGCTTTACAGCAGTGGTTCGAGAAAACGTTAGGGAATAGAGGATCCGCTGCTGACCATGTAGCCCAAATGCTTCTCTGGCTTACCAGCAGTATTCGTCCAGCGGCTGTGGCCCTTGCAGGAGGTTCAACAGTGATGTGTACATTGCTGCAGGAGTGTACATCCCGTCACCCTTCTTGTTTTACTGAGCTTGTTATACTAACTAGGCATGCCATTTTTCAGGCTTCTATGTATAGGAGAAAGAAAGGATGCACACATCAATGTAAGCCCTTTTTTTTTTTTTTTTTTTACACTGTGTTTTCATTGACTTCAAAGTACAAGTTTCCAGCCATGACTTGGTCTTTGATCTTCCCCCACGGTTACAGGCATGCAGAAAGAGAAACATCAAAGTCAGGAATGGCTGGTTTTGTTGGCAGATGGCATTTAATTGTTGCCCTCCTTTGTTCTACTAGGATGCATTCCAGGAAGAGTACTACCGAACAGGAACCTACCCAGCAGTTCCTATAGTACCACCCCGACGACCATGGACGCTTTTTAACTGGCTTTTCTGGGCCTTATTGCTGCTATATCCTTTATTCAAGCTGCTCATCAACATGATCAACAGTGGATCATCACTGACACTGGCTAGTTTTGCATTTGTCATTGTAATGGGTAAGTTTTCTAAAACAGAAAGATTACTTACAGGGTAATTGTCAGATGTGATTTATTGAGGCTTACTAAATATAAACATGACTTGTGAATTCAACAAACCATCTGATACTGTATCCCCTTTAGCCTGGAATAGGTTAAATAGATTCTTTTTTTTTTGTTTATTTTTGTATATGTGGTTTTTTTTTTTGTAAGACCTGCATACAAAATCTTCTGTTTCTGTAGAAATCAAAGCAGTAACTTTCCAGTGGGTTGCCTACAAGAGGCTTTCTTTTCTTGTGTTGCTGGGTCGCACTTTGAATGCCTAGAAGAGGTGCTCAAGGCTGATTATTCTGTTGAGAATTCTTTCGTCTAATCATAGTCTGATACATCATCCACTGGAAATCCATGAACTTGTGATTTAAGGACAGCCTGTTGTGGCCATCTACTCTGATTTACGTAGCACAGGGCATAGACTATCACAGGTGATCCCTACAGTTCCTGTGGTAGTTCTGAACTGCCTTGGTTTGTGTTTAAGCTAGTATGTTATTTAAGAGGAGGAAGGAAAACAAAACAAGGAGCTGGCCCACAGAAAGGGAGGGAGATCTCATTTGGTGTCCTTCATGGAAACAGGAACCAGGTCAGTTTGGCAAATAGCATCATATCTGGCTGTCTGTGCATTATGGCACTGTTTAAAGAATAAGTTCCCTTCCAGAATAAGCCATACATTTGTAAAGCAAATACTTTCTATGGCTGCACTGACCATCACATGTATTTATGGCTTCATCACCTTAACACCTTTGAAAAAGAAACAGAACTTCACAGTCTTTCTGGCTTTGAGTGAACTTCGATGCAGAGATACTAGAGTTAGCTTAAAAAGCCATGTCCAAAATAGCAACACAGAGGAAACAGGAAAACACAACATGTTTTCTTGTCTCAGAAGTGCATCTTTGCTCCCTACCTAGGAAATTGTTCCTAACACATAATATTACTTTGCGTTTTCAAAAAGTCTGAATCTTGAGCAGATCCCATGCTAGTCTGATCAAGATGAATTAACTAATCTCCTTTTGCCCATCTGTGAAGAGCTTGATATGGTAGGCACACAATATTCTTTTTCAGAAAGTGCCCACCAAATCAAACTCTGCGTAAGCTACTGTGGAAGCTTCTTAGAAAGATAATTGGAGAAGGAAGAATTTGTGTGTGTGTGCACACGTGCAGGATATTTGCTTCGTGATGCTTTGGGCCAGAGGAGGGAAAACAAGAACAAGGGTAAGGTCCAACATAGTAGTTGGTACATTAATGTGGGCAAGGTAGAGGGAAAGGGAGGGGAATTCTGTGCTCTTGTCCTCACCTGGAGAAATTGCTGGTGCTTTTTACCCTGGGAATGTTTTATGTAAAATGTGGAAGAATTTCTTGGAACAGTGACTACAACTTAGAAGCACCTTTTCTCACCCACCTTACTTGTTGGAAGGCACCAGTGGTGCTTCTCCCCCTCACCTTCTCTGACCAGTGAATAGGATGGGAGTGAAGAATGAGCACCATGGTTGGGGTGTGCTCCTCAGGAATGGGAGGTGTTGGGTTCAAATCCCCTTCAGTTGCAGAGAAAGGTCAATTGGTCTCCCCTGTGCTCTAGTTCAAAATGGGGGGGGATGAGTGGGCGGGATGAGGTATGACACCATGCCACGTCCCTGACAATAGCACTCAAGAGGGCATTTGTTCTGCCTTTGGAAGAAATGCTGGTGTAGGCTGTGCTTGGTGCTGGGCTGTGGAATGATGGCCTAATGGGGCACTGAAGCTTAGCCATTGCAAAATTTTTTAATTTCTCATCTTTTCTTCAGCATTTTCCTCTTAATTCAGCTTCTCCACTCAGTGGGCTGGTTGCTCAGGTGCCATTCCAAAGTGCCTCGTGCCTTGTGTACCCTCCACAGGGAGCCTCACTGCATAGTTCAGGGTTCTGGATTTTAAACTCAGGGCTGGATGCCTTAATGCTTGGCATTGTGGCATCTGTGATGTTTCTGGATTTAGCCCTTATTGATTTAGTTGAGTGACACTACATCCCCCATCGTAAGTGCAATACCATCTTGCCATTAGTGGCCTTTACAACTAGATCATGTCTTCTATCAGGAGGGGAGGGAAAGAACCTGTAAAGCAAAAAAGCTATGATGTTACTAAGAATGGACAGCAAGAGAGCCCTTTTTTTTTTGCTTTCTTTCTTTTTTTTTCTTGCTGTCTTACTCCCCACTTAGCTTTCTTCTGCTTCTAGCCACAAGGAAAGGTTAATAAGAAGGCTGCTACGAGTCGTCTCTTGAACGCAGTGATAATCCAAAGGTTCTCAGGTTATTTGTAACGCTGGAGCTAACAGAAAGCTACAGCAGCAGTCTGCTGCCAGATGAACGCGTGAGCTCCCAGGTTGCAAAAGCACAGCTGAGGAACGCATTAAGAGTGGTGAGATTAACAGCCCACTGCGATGTGCGTTGCTGCCCCATACGTATCTGCCACATTTGTGGGATGCTGCAGGTTGCAGTCCTCTGCAACCTTTGAAAGACCCCTGTGGTTAGCAACAGCTCTGTTCTCACTCAGAATACCTGTCATGATCAAACCCAAAGTGCTTGTAATTGGCCAGGATTTGCGGCGCAGCAGAAGACACTGAATTGCCTGTAGTAGTGGCCGTCGCCTGATTAGACTCAGCCAGTCACCTCTGGCTGATGAGCAGGCAGAAAGAAAGATGATGTTGTCACTTATTAGCAGATAGCAGCGTCTGTGAAGCTGTGGAGGGAAGAGAATCCGTGGGAGTGGAAGGAAGCTTTGCCTTCAGTAAAAACAAACAGAAAGCAGAGCTGGTTTATCCTGGTCACTTAAAAGTCGATGTGTCATTACTCGCCAAAAGAGCAACGGTTCCCTTAGTATGTTATAGTCTGTTTCTATTTTACTATATCCCTTTAAAAGCAATCTTATTGCTAGTTGGGAATCATTGGTCTCTTTTTGTGGAAGCATCTAAAACTTCAGCCCAAGCTGTCACATTGACTTTTGTAGCAATAGCTGAGTTTCTGTAGCAAGGCTGTTCTTCCCAAACTGTGTTTTATATCCTAAGGGGTATCTCTGTCATGAATGTCCTGGGAGTGATGCAGCCATCTTCTGGCAGAGGAACAACCAGTATTTTATTTTGCAGTTTGTCTCCAGCTTTAGGCAAGGTCTCAGAAGTGACTTCTGCAATGGCTGGGAGGTAGCAGTAGATGAACACAAATGTACCTTGGAGGTTGTGACTCTTGGTGCCAGCTGGAACTGTTCGCTTGGCAGATCCAGTTTGCAGCAAAGCAGGGAGGACTGTATTCGCTGTCTTTTCCAGTGTGGGCAGTGATTGGTACCTGCTGGCTTAACAATGTAAAAGGAAGCTTTTTCTGTAAATCAGAGGGATTTATTTACCATTGAGATCAGGTGATAAAATCGCCTTTTCACATTGCTCCTAATTGATCTTTTCCCTCTGTTCGTTAACTGAAGCAGCATAGGTAGCTTTGGGACATTATTTTTTTTTTATATGGCAGTTTGACAGCTCACCGGATACTCCAGAATTGGGAAACTTACTGCAGTCCTTAATAGCCCATTATTAGTAGACTGCTATTTCTAAGGGCAGATTTCAGTATCTGATAACATTACCTTTATTAGCGTAGGTGCAGATAGCACAAGATATTCCTAACCTTTCAGTGATAGGAAAGCGTGGAGGAACTAGGAGGACCTTCTACCTGGTACCTTCTGCTTTGTTTTCAGGGTGTCATTTGTCTTTTAGACAGTCTCTGCTAATTGTGCTCTTCAGTAAAACACTTACTGGCGTGTAAGTAACTGGCTGTTCAGGTGGAAAAAACTGTAAGAGAAATGCCCCATGGCGGTCAAGCTGGAGGGAAATCACTGTAATCCCTCAGACCCTAGCTCTCCTAGATCCAAGGAATGAATAACTAATATATATATAGCTCTGCTGGTTCATAGAATGTACTTAACTGAGAGCACTGTATGGTGTTTTTAGGAAGGATGCTGTTGTGATTCACTTAACCATGCTATACTGAGAGAGCAAAATGAGCGATATACTATCATAAATTTTTAAATCAATGTTTAAGGTTTTGCCATGTTTGAAGCTGGC